CCTGAACTTTTTTTGAATCAGCATCCACATCTTCGAATATGGCCACTGTACCTCTCTCTGGAGAAAAGGAATCAGGATTTGGAATTTTATCAGGCTTCAGAACCCAAAATGTAATATTTTCATGATATGATTTTGGGCTATTTGCAATTATCTGATATGCTGATTTTAGATATAAATATTTTAGCTCTTTAAGATAGTAACCGATAAGGACCAAATCATCATTTTTTATATAGCATGTTTCTCCCTTTTTACTATTAAACATGCAATAAAACTTATTTCCTAATAATAGGTTCACGATTTTATTAGTTTTTCCTGAATTGGTACGACCACTGATTAGTAATGTAAAGGACCATTAAGGGATCGTTAAACTTTTTTGCATCTTTAATCTTATCAACATGGAGAATGATTTTTTCTACCAGATCAAGCTTTTCAACTTTCATATTATCGAGACTAAGTATTATTAATATTATATCAAGCAAAGTAAAATTTTTTAGTGAAATTTTAGCAAACCAAGTTCACTCAAAATCATGTGAGCTTTCTCGATTAATATATGTTTGATATAGGAAAAAAGATCAGCAGTATAGAGAACTTTAATAAGGCATATATCTTACTTCCCGCTTCTTCTGATTACGTATCTTTTGTATTTCTAAAATTTCATTCTTCCAATGATATAGACTATTGTGATGATAGTATTAGGAATCCTGAAATTTAAATGCAAGATGCAATTTCTCATTATATCCATCGAGTTGCTCAATACTTGCGCTCACCTCTTGCGTAATGACATAGTGGACACCATTCAAATTTTTTCATAATATATTTTAATGGATATTCCCACTGGTGTGCACCATTTTCACAAGACCAAAGATATACACCATGACCATTTATTCACCCAGTCCTTCCTAGGCATTGACCACCACGTAGTATTACGATCCAAATGAATTTGTGATCTATCAATCTGATTTAAAATGATCTGGATATCCGAAATAGATCTGCAGATCCATCCTTTACTTATCCAGATATTCGCTGGATGCATCCAAATGTATTGGATTGATTCAGATGCATCTGAATATATCGGATTGACCCCTTTTTTTTTATTTTTTTTATTAAATACGTTTTTTTCACAGAACTTATCTTTTCAGTCCTCCTTTCAGCTCTGGTTTACAAATAATTTAAAGTTTCAGAACTTTTGAAAGGTTTAAACAGATAATTACATAAAAAATAGGAAGACTTTTTTTTTAAGTACGTTTATTAAAGCCTTTTTTTTCTTGTAGATTTCAACTTTGAACCTTCTGGGAACAGCCTTGGAGGTAATTTCAATAGAAGGTTTCTTTATTATTTTATTTTAACAACGTTTATTAACATTTTTTTTTTGGTTTTTCTCGTAGATTTCAGCTTTAACCTTCCAAAATGGTAATTTCAATGGAGGGGAATTTATTTTTATTTAAAAACACTTATTAACGTTCTTTTTTGTTCTTTTTTGTAGATTTCAGCTTTGACCTTCCAGAACAGCTTTGCTATAGAAATGGTATCATTTTTTAATCAATAATTGATCATTATATTTAATAAAAATTAATTTTCTTATTTTTAGTTAAATGTAGCAAATTAGTGATTATAATAGTATTTATTTATTTATAAAGTAATAAAGTACAAATGTTTGAAATTAATAAGAAAATGTAATACTATTATTTAAACTATACATGCCACCCAAATTATTTTGGACTGCCGTAATTATAAGTAAAATCCCAAATTTAATTATGGCATCCCAAATTATTTTAGCACTTTACATAGTAAATTATATATAAACCGAATGAATTATGGCATCCCAAATTATAATTATGGCATCCCAAAATAATTTGGGCAGCATGTATAATTTAAACATTAGCAGAATTAGAAACAGGTGGATAAATTGAAGGTAACATCTTAGAGTTACGCTTTAAAAAATAAATCTATTAAACAACTCAGGATTCATTCTAGTTTTTTTGGTCTCATCAAATTCCCTGCATCTGAAAACATTCACTCTGAAGCTGTAAATGCAACAGGTATTGGCAAATACTTACGTGCTAAAATACTTAGATAATGAAAGTGTTTTTTTCCTATCTCCACTAAATAAAGGAATTATCCTTCCAATCAATTTCATCTATTTTTAAATATTCTAAAATTTCATTATCCAGAGTCTTTGGCCTTGATTTAAATTTTTAAAATTGAATTTTTATATTTATTTGATGATGATAATGATGATAATGTAGAATTAGAAGAAATTGATTCATGATTTAATTTTAATTCTTTAAGTTTATCATACAATAATGCTATTGTTTCTGTTTGAACTTGAGCAGGTATATTATTAAGATTCTTTGTACGTGAATTTAATAAAGAAGCTAAAAGAGTATTAGAATCTTGAAAATTCCAATATTTACATAAATTTTTATGAAGTCTTGTCTTGACTAAATTTAGCAAATTATCTGTTTGATTTACAGATAGATTTAAATCATTTTGAATTTCTAAATCTTCATTAGCAAATACGTCATCATCATTTATTTCTTGATTAATAATTTGTGTAGGATAGTATGACAAAAGATGATTGTGGCAAAGATTGTAAAGAATCAGAAGAGAAGGTTTTTATTAAATCAGCTTTAATTTGTTCAATAAAAAAATTAATAATACTATATGTACAATAAGTGCTGCTTCCTAAATAATCAGTGGCTTCTGCAAGTTGCTCTAACACATCAACTAAACTTCCTAGCAAATCCCACTCTTCAGTAGTAATCAAAATTTTCTTTAGTTGTTTGGAATCTTTAATTTAATTTTTATCTGTTTTTTACTCTAGTCGTATATTAAGAATATTTATTGCATTTTGAAGGGCTAATAATCTTTTCCAAGCAAAATATAAACTATTTCAACGAGTTTCACAATTTTGAATAGTACGTAAATATTTATCAGTTTTTTTGAATTTTTATTATATAATAAAAAAATAATTAAATTTAGGATTTATTTATATTATTAACTTAATACAATAAAAATTTATTATTTATATTTTCATTTATATCTCTTTGGACATCCTCTAATCTTTCAGCTTGCTTAGATTTTGAAAAAAAATTAATTAATCGTTTTACTCTTAAAATTACTATAACTAGTAATTTTTTAACTGGCATTAATCCCTTTCCAGTTTCCAACAACGAGCTGCAAGGTGTGTACAGCACATGAATGCCATTCTATTTCTTCCAATTTTTCTTTTACACAATTTTTAACATTACTTCCATTATCAGTAGTAATTAAGAATACCTTGGTCTGTAAATTCCATTTTTCAAGAACTTCATTAATAGCATCCTTGATATTTTCAGAAGTATGTGGATACCTGAGATGAGAAACAGTAAGAGTAATTTTTTAAGTTTATACTCTTGATTTAGAAAAGAGCATGTGATATCAAGATATCCATAGTTGCTTCTTGCAGTCCATAAATCCAGAGTTAGATAGACAGAAATAATTGATTGTAATAATTTAACTATAGCTTCAAAGATATAGTTATAAACACGATGTATGATAGCTTTAATACAGTTCACTTTCACTATAATGAACCTCTTAGGCTGAAAATTGAGATTCACTATAGTAAGAAAATTCACTAATCACGTATAGCGAATAATAAAGATAAGATTTTTGCTATATCAAAAGTCTTCTAATCACATGATGACGATAATTACGACTCGACTAAGCAATAATTTATATTTTAAAAAAACACATGCAATAAAATAAATTTTCTTTATTTTTTTTTAATAAATTTACGCATAAATACTTTTTATATTTGTGACATTCAAGGATTATTACTTTATTAAGTATGATAAATGCAATTATTATAAATCTGTAATACAATCATTTATAAAGACAATTCTGATCAATCTGGTACTCGATAGTAAAACCTTCATATTCTTCTTCATGATTATAAAAGTCCCTTTCATTAAAATATAAAGTTTCAAAATTAATATTATCAACATCCATAATATTATCTTTAACACCTTCTCTTATATTATTATTACCAATACTGTCAACACTGTTGTTAGATTTAACGAACAGGTCTAAACTCGTTTGCTTTTTTTAAAAAAAATTATTTCTATAAACCTCCTTCCTAGCTTTTTTTATAGCTTTAAGCGCACTTTTATCAATAATATCTTAACTATTATTTTGTTTTAAATAGATAAATATTTTATCAAATGCGGCTAAAACTTCAGAGCTAAATACTAAAGTAATTTCACTATCACTTTCATCGTCAGAAATGGAATTATTTTTTTTAAGAATGGCAACAATCTGCTCTTCAGTTGATATCTTACCATCAATTTCATTTTCTTGATCTATTCTAATATATTCTTCAGCAGTAAGAAGGTATGTATATTCAAGTTTATCAATTAAATCTTGAATTTCTCTACGTTCATTCTCTTCTGTCTCTTCATGTTTATTCTCTTCTATTTCATCTTGAGAATCTGTATCATCTAATGGCAAAATTCCTGCATCTTTCTAGCAGTTAAATATAGTTTTGAAAAGAACTTTATTCCAAGCTGATACCATATATTTAATAGTTTTTTTGATATTAATTAGTAACTTACTATTACCTGTTTTTTCAAAGGCTTTGATACGATTTTAAAGGAGCAATTTTCAATAGTATGCCTACAAATATACAAATACAGCATATGCGCTAATCTATACCCTAACCCTAATTTTTTTGAGATAACCCCAAATTTTATGGACCAATCATAATGATAGTCAAATCACCTGACATTATGTGATAATACTAATCATGCACTAATGACGCCAAAAAATTTTTATATATACGTTGTAAATTTTTCTGTTATTGTTACGAAAGTTAAGTGGTAAAGAAATATGGTGTTAAGACTCATATTGAATTTTTAATAACCAGAAATTTTTATACTTATTGCATTTTTATAGATCTGTTGTACAATTTTTTTATATGCTGCTATTTTTTAACGCGTAAAACTGAAAAACTGTTACTTTCAATGTCAAATTCTAAGCAGCAAAAATCTTTTGAAAAAGAAAATTACCCTATTTCATCTGAAATAATATACTATGATGACCGAAAATTTACTTATGTTGTTATTCAAGAAGGTACCTACTCACCAACTGTAAATCATATTGAAGCACCTAATTATTTTCCTATATCTGATAATTATATTATTAAAACTACCTTAGTAGAAGTCGTACTATTCAATGTTCTATTTATTACGCAGAAGAAAAACCTCATTACCTAATTTGTTTTGGAGATAATTTACAATATCAAGTTGTTTCAGCTCAATCACCATTTGATGCTTCTGTTGAACTGCACAAAGTAAGTTTTTATACATTTATTATTTTAAAAAAAAATCATAAAAGAATGTATTTTAATTTATACATATTTTATCAGATTATAACATCAGATAAGAAGACTGCTGTTTCCAGAGTTTATCTCTTTGGACTTCAATTAAAATGCATTGATAGAAATCGCAAAGGTAGACCACGTGAATTGAAACTATATGAAGAATTAAGCAAAACTACACAAATTAAACGTGCAAAAGGTCTTGCGAAAAAAGAACAAATACACTTTGAAAATTTAATTAAAGACTTTTACAATCCTAAAGATCGTGTAGTTTTAAGAACTTTAAATTTTACTATAGAAAATAAAGAATATAATATAACATTTGAAGATGATGATAGTGTTAAAAAAAAACAAAAATTACAATCAATGGCATATGTACAAGATATACTTCTTTGCTAATTAATTACGTCATATTTCGGTGAACGGACCAATTCACTATTTATTATAAAATTACTATAAATTAATTACATCTGTCAAAATACATTACGTATGTCAAAATAAATTTAATTAGTATTTTGTCATTTTGACGAAAAGTATAGTACAAGATATAGAAAATATACCTCGTAATGCATATCATCATCTTGCAGCTGTAGAATCAACATTACCACGAGAATATGCTATTTCTCAAACCCGTCAAGAGATTAATGCATGTATGGGAGAATTAATACCCATTAATTTTATTGATTTAAATTCTACTATTATACAAGAAGAACCTTTGGAAGAGCCTGATATAACTGATCCATTAATTATTGAACAAGTTGTTAGTGCAACAGGAAAGGGTGCTTACCGAAGTGTCAAAAAAATTTTTGAGTATATAATACCATCATATATTAAAAAAAAAGTATTAGATCCTGCAATACCAACTATTCATCTTCAAATATCTGGTGATGGGCAGAACGCAGAACGAAAAGTGAAGCATGTGATGATTACCGTAGCACTATTGGATGATTCAATGAATCTTTTCAAGTCTGATTATCATTATACAACCGTTTTATTTTCAGGAACAGAAAATTATCCAACTTTAAAAGTTGCAGTAAATGCCTTAATTCAAGAATTGCAAAAATTAAGTAATAATGAAATGATTATCAACAATATTTTTTGGAATTTTGAGCTTTTTTTTAGCTCAGATTGGAAGATTCTCGCTACCTGTTTGGATTTTAATACTGCAAACTCCAATTATTTCTATCCATGATGCGAGATAACTAAAAACCAACGTGAAAATGGGCAAGTTGATTGGGTGTAGTGATACCTGGCTAAACTCTTTTTGCCAACTAGTTTCGGTTTCGTCATTGACTAAACTATATAGTAATATTTTTTAAGTTTAAATTTTATTTATATAAAATTATAATTTTATTATAAAAATATATTAAATTATATTATACATAAAATAGTTTTATAAATTTCTTTAAAAAATATTATATTTTAATATAAATTTATTATTTTTTTTTTTATAAGTAATTATTATAATTAAAAATCCATGGAAATCCATAAAAAATCCATGGAAATACTATGGAATATTGAATTTCGGCATTTCGTCTTTTAATTTTAAATGTCTAAACTATTTCGGTTTAGTCAAATGACTAAATATTTTGGTTTCGCCCAGGATCTCTAATTGGGTGATTAGTAAATCAATAAATATTTTAAATGAAAATTCAATAGCATACCCAGGTCATAAATTACCACCACTTTTCAATATGATTTTGCTTAAAAATCATGTTTCTGATAAGCTTCACATAATGTTATGTATAACTGACCACTTGTGAGAATTAGTTTTACAAGAAATCAAAAATGAAGGATTATTTAATGATATATCTCAGAATATTATAATCAAAGAGATGGAAAAATTAAAAATTTGATTTGAGTTTTGGAAAATTCATGGTACTGAGAGTTGGGATTACATCTCTTTAATGGAAGATGATAAGCTTCGTGTTCTTCAGAACTTTAATTTGGCAAAACTTTTTGATCCAGAACGTGCTACATTAATTAAAAATTTGTGGAATGGATTTGCTGAATTATATATTATGATCATTTAGGAGAAATAAAAACAGATCTACAATATTTTCGTTTAAAAGAAAAGTATGGTACGAATTATTTTTGAAAAAAACTGTGATAGATCCTGAAACTAATAATATTTTAGAACAAGAACTTTATTAATCATCAGATATAATCTCTTATATTCATGTTTTGGTATCACATGTTTGGGAATTTATGTTTATCCATAAAAGGTGAGGATTAATAAATGCATTTTCATGCAGTGCTGTCGAAAAAAAGAATCACAATCATGTTTATTATTTTTTTAAGAAAACTCTCAAGAATGGTGGAAAATTTCAAAATAAAACATCAGCAATCTGCGAAATTTTGGAACATGAAAATCGACTTCTATTTTATACTCAAAATAATGTCTCACTTTCCTATCCAAACCCTCAAAATATTCACATTTTATAAATTTATCTTTGGTTAATATTTAGATAGAAAAAAATATCAAAACACTTTATTATAAATGTATATAATTTTTTTTTTTCTATTACAATAAAATTTTAAATTTGTTTCACCCAAAAACGTATATATATAAATCCTGCTTCACAATAATTCTCCTTTGCATCTCTTTCACCCTTAATTTTCTATTCAACAACAACTTCTCCAGGATTATATTTAGATTTGTGCCTTTTAGTGTTTACACCTTCAATAATACAGTGAGTTGCAATGGCTAATAGATTATTTTTTAAATGCTGAAGTGGATCACTAAATAAAACAACATAAGTTTGTTGTTCATTGTCATAAAATTTTTGACCCCATAATGGATTATTCAAGATTTCACTTAATATTTGATATCCAGCAGATCTTCAAAAAATACACTTGTAGATGTTTCTATTACTATGATGATAATGAATATGTCCTTTAAAAATATTAAAAAACTGATGCTCAGTACAGGCAAGAGACACTAATTGGTGACCTCTCTTTTTAAATCCATGTGGAAGTTTGCGGTGAATTAAGTAAACAAGAATACTTCTAAACTTTTCATTGTTTGTTTCTGACAAATTATCCAAGTTATTACACGGAATATTATATTTTTTCACAATATTCAAATGCCGTAAAAGTCCACTTTGTTTTTTAAATCTTTTTTGACAAGTGGAACAGATAAATTCTGATGTAAATGTAGTAAAAGACGTTGTAAGTGAAGCAAAACTTGTATTAGTGTTTGACATATTAGTAGTAATTAAATCTGAAAAAGTATAAATATGTTTTTAATATTATTTAAAAAATAAAAAGTAATTTTGCAATAACTAACTTTATTTACAGTTAATAATTAGTAACATTTAAAAGCGTGAAATGCCAATTGCCAATTACTAGTCTTCCGCTACTCAAATTCATCAGTTTTAGGTTGTGCTCATTAGTTTGACGCGTGTTTTAATATGTTATTTTTTTTCAGGGTGCGTTTACTTAAATTGATTACAAAAAAATTTTTTTTACTATTTGTGATGGTATAACATTGATCAAAATTACTATATAAAATTAGGCCCAATCTTGATAGTTAGCTGATATGGTAAGTCAACTTTGTAATAAATAAAAAATTGCATTAAAATTTTAGAGTTATTTACCTTAAAGCTATTGATAATACCTTTATCACATGGTTGTAGGTGTGTGGTTGTGTTAGGAGGTAAAGACTTAATTTCTATATTAGTTAATTCCACACCTTCATATAAAGCATAAATGGAAGTATTATCTACAAGAAGGAGAATTTTTCTTCCTTTTAATCTCATTGTTGCATCAAGTTGACAAATCCAATCATTTCAAATTGAGACTTGCATCTAAGCTTTTATATTCCAGTAATATTCTACTGGTAAGGATAACTTTGGTAAGTTTTTTAAGGGACGGGAATTTTTGTATTTATGAATGAATACTGGTTTAAGCTTTTTTGTATTAGTTGCATTAGAACAAAAGAGAATTATCACCCGATCTTTTAATTGTTTTTGTCCAGATACAGGTTTATTAGAAATCGTTCTTTAGATTCCATTTTCCAATAAAGACCAGTTTCATCACAATTGAAAATATCATCAAGACTATATCCATGAATCAAATCTTGAAGCTTCTTCCTAAATTCATCAAGTTTTTCAAGTGGCGCACTTGCAGCTTCTCCTTGCTTTAAATAACAAAAAAGATTACATTTTTTTTTAAATCTGTTAATCCAACCATTACTTCCTTTAAAATTTTCGATCTTATATAGAGATGCAAACATCATGGCTTTTTTATGTAAAACTTGATTACTAATATCAACACCATTTTCCAAAACTTTTAATACTTATAATATAATGTAAGTGCTTCTTTAATTTCTGGAAAAATTGCTTTAACTTGTCTTTTTCCTTTAACTTCAGATGCTTGAAAATCAATTTCAAGCCACTTTTGTGAATTTTTTGACGTATTACTAATACATTCTTCACTAATATCAAATAATTTTGCTAGTTCTTTATTTTTTATAGAAGGTTCAGTAACTTTTTTAAGACATATTTCATGTTTTTGAGGAAGAGATAAGGAAGTTCTTTTTGGCAAAGTTTTTTCTTGGGATATTTTACCTTTGCCTATGGCTATTTGAGTACACGAAATTTTTATATTTTGAGTTTTAAGCATAGTAGCGTTAACGTGTGAAGAAAATAATTAACTGAATCAGAATTATTTTATTATCAATCAAAGATAAATATGATATTTTTCCTTTTTAGTTTAAATCACAAAATTTTTCTAGCTTCTAAAGGCAAATTGAATATTCAAATAAATTTCATATAATCAAAAATTCACTAATTAATAGTATAACATTTAAAAATTCGTTATAGTGAAAATCTTTATTATATCAAGGGTCATTTTATTAATACTGGTTCTAGAATTTAAATTCGAATTACGAGTTATAGAGAATTTATTATAAAAATTCACTATACCAAGAGTTATTATTTATAAAAAAAACTGTACCTGAACTTTTCTTTATTATAGCAAATTATTCACTATATAAAAATTCACTATAGAAAGGGTGAACTGTATTCTTAGCATTTGGGATGTTAAATGTTAAGTCCAATTGCTGAATGAGTTGACGAAAATACATATTTTCAACTACTCTTAAAGGTTGTGATATATTTAAAATAAAATCTACCAGATATTGACGTAATTCAAGTTGACGACTTCCTGATGTTTATTAATAATTTTAACAGTAATTGTTTGCTATAAAAAATATAATAAGATTATTTAATAAATATTTATGTATTATAATTAATTTAAAATAAATTAGTATCACTCTCTTTGAGTATAATAATAATAATAATAATAAAAAAAAATTATACCTGATCATCTTTTGATCCATCACTACAAAAATTATGTTTATTTAACAAATAATCAATGCAATTCTTAGTAGAGCCGTCTGTTTTATATTCTTTTTTACAGGGAATATCTGTACCAAATTTATCTAATTTGCATATTGCCCATTTATAATCATCACAAATTTCTGAGTCAAAGTATTTTCAGATCCAACTAGATTTTGGTCTTCTAATTGATCTTTTTCTATCAACTGGTGGGTTGGAATTTCCTACTGGTTCTTGTGAATTATCCATGATTAAAATTAAAATAAAGAAAAAAAAATGAAAATTGAAAAATTTTTCCTATTAGTTATTAAATATAATCTTATTTTTTGATAGCGCATCAGTTTCTCAATTCAGATAGTTGAATTTGATTATTGCCATGTGATTTCAAAATTATTTAAAATTTTCTTACGTATTTAAAATAGAAAATATTTTTTATTTTTAATCGAAAATTTATTAATCAAAAGTTAAATGAACTATCTCAAGTCTCTTCAAATAAACCCTGTAAAAAATCTGATCTGTGTTTTATCTTTCCATATTTTTTCCGTGAATGTATCATTTTAATGGAATTTATAGGCTTAAATCATAAAAATTTTCATCTCACTAACACGGATATCCGTGAATGTATCATTTTCACGGAATTTTTACGGAAGACACGGAGAAATAATGGAAATATTCAGATAAAAATTTTTTATAGGGAAATTATTTCTAAAAACAAAAGACAATTATTAGTACCATTCTACATCTAAAAGTTGAAGTAAACAATCAATAAAAAAGTATAAGCATTTACCTTAATTCCAACTATCAAAGCAAAAGAAATTATTTCTGATAAATAAAAAAAAAACTGTTCATG